AGTAGTGGCGGCAAAGATCCACCAGGGAAAGGACCAAGCGACCTCGGCCGTAAAGCATCCGCCAAGGAAGCCAGTATGACAACAGAGGCAAAGCATCGATAGAGAGAAGACCACGGCGACCAAGCATCCACTAGAAAAAGAGGCACACGATGTTAGTGGCAAAGTATCCGCTACGACTAGCAAACTGCAGCAACAAAGTATCTGCTCAGTGATAACTAGGAACACCGGCGGCAAAGCATCCGCAGCCGAAGCGACAAAGGAAGCGACCAAGCATCCGTCGAAGAAGCAACCAAACTGTAGGACAAACACAGGCGTTGAAGCCATGAAGGATATGAAGCACGCACATGCACAGCCAAAAAAAATCCATCGCCAACCGGATGATTCGACAGGAGCACAAGTCACAATGATGACCAAGCGCAACACCAAGAACAGGGGGAAGCAGCCCCCAGGCGTGCCATGGCTATGGGACTTAATAGGCAACGTCTCCAAGGAGGAATGCGACGCAAACAGCGCCACCGCTGCCTGTCCAGAAGGGACGGGGTTTTCACCCAGAAGATCCACGCCAAGGAGGAAAACGGCATCCAAAGAGCATCGCCATCGTCGGCCAGACTGCACCTTCCGTTCCAAAGAGATTTATTCTAAATCAAATGAATTTGACTTTATCCATAAAAAATCAATTCAACTTCGATCAAAATTATAAGGGACAAATGTCTGTTGGACATCCAAAGTGATGGTCCTTTGCTGGCGGACACCCACTTTGGAGCATTTTGCCAGAAGACACTCGTGGTTGACCCGATCATCGGTACGAAGCGGCTCACCAAGGTACTGATGGATGGAGGCAGCGGCCTCAACATCATGTACGCCGAAACGCTCGACGCCATGGGCATCAACGATCGCGCATCCGACCGACAGGAGCGCCTTTCCACAGCATCGTGCCTGGAAAGCAGGCCGTGCCACTTGGGCAGATCGATCTGCCCGTCACCTTTGGGGATCTGACTAATTACAGGACGGAGACCCTTACCTTCGAGGCAGTCGGGTTCCATGGAACCTACCACACCATCCTGCGACGTCCATGCTACGCGAAGTTCATGGCCATCCCCAACTACACCTATCTGAAGCTGAAAATGTCGGGACCGAGCGGGGTCATCACCATCGGCACCTCCTTCCAGTGCGCCTACGAGTGCAAGGTCGAGTGCTGCGAACACGCCGTGGCAATCGTCGCCTCCAAGGAGCTTGCGGCCATTAGGAAGGAGGTCGCCGAAGAAGCACCCGACCCCAAGCGATCGGCCGGGTCTTTTGAGCCTGTAGAGGGCGCCAAGGAGGTCTTCATAGACCCCAGCGGCTCCAAGGGCAAGGTGGTGCGCATTGGCACCACACTTTCCTCTAAATAGGAAAGCGCGCTCGTCGACTTTCTTCGCGCCAACAAAGACATCTTTGCGTGGAAACCCTCGGACATGCCAGGTTTTTCGAGAGAAGTCGCTGAGCATGCCTTGAAGATCAGGCCAGGCTCCACGTCGGTGAAGCAACGCCTGCGTCACTTCGACGAGGAGAAGTGCAGGGCCATCGACGAGGAGATTGCGAAGCTTTTGGCGGTCGGGTTCATCAAGGAAGTATACAACCCCGAGTGGTTAGCCAATCCCATTTTGGTACGAAAAAAGAGTGGGAAATGGAGAATGTGTGTCGACTACACGGGTCTCAACAAAGCGTGTCCAAAGGATTGTTTCCTTTGCCACGCATAGACCAAGTAGTCGACTCAACCTCAGGGTGCGAAACCCTTTGCTTCCTCGATGCATACTCCGGGTACCATCAAATTGCGATGAAAGAGTCCGACCAGCTCGCGACATCTTTTATCACCCCATTCGGATCGTTCTGCTACGTCACGATATTGTTCGGTCTGAAAAACGCGGGGGCTACGTACCAGCATTGTATGCTCAAATGTTTCAGGGACCTCATCAGGCGAACCGTTGAGGCCTACGTGGATGACATCGTGGTCAAGTCCAAACGGGCTGACCAGGTCGTAGCCGACCTAGAGCAGACCTTCGTGAAACTCCGAGCAAACAACATTAAGCTCAACCCCAAAAAGTGTGTTTTCGGGTCCCAAAGGGTATGTTGCTGGGTTTTATTGTCTCCGAGCGTAGCATTGAAGCCAACCCGGAGAAGATCTCGGCTATCACAAGGATGGGCCTGATTCAGAACATAAAGGGTGTACAACGAGTTACAGGGTGCCTTGCTGTGTTCAGCCGCTTTATCTCACGCCTCGGCGAACGAGGTCATCTCCTCTATCGGCTCCTGAAGAAGGCCGACCGTTTCTAATGGACGTCCGAGGCCCAGGAGGCACTTGACACGGTCAAGCAGCTTCTAACGAAGGCCCCAATCCTGGTCCCTCTGACCAATGGGGAACCACTTCTGCTCTATATTGCGGCCACCACGCAAGTGGTCAACACCGCCCTGGTGGTAGAGTGAGAAGACGAGGGACACGCCCTCAAAGTGAAGCGTCCCGTGTACTTCATTAGCGAGGTCTTGTCCGATTCTAAGACTCGTTACCCCCAAATCCAAAAACTCCTGTACGCCGTCCTTATTGCCAAGAGGAAGTTGCGTCACTACTTTGAGTCGCATCCGGTGACGGTCGTGACGTCCTTCCCTCTCGATGAGGTCGTCCAAAACCAGGATGCCATGGGAAGAATCGTGAAATGGGCACTCGAGCTGATGGGTCAAGGCATTTCATATGCCCTCCAGACGGCCATCAAGTCCCGAGTGCTTGCTGATTTCGTTGTAGAGTGGACCGAGATCCAAATGCAGCCAGCAGCCGTCGACCAAAAGTACTGGACAATGTACTTCGATGGATCGTTGATGAAGAAAGGCGCCGGCGCAGGGCTGGTCTTCGTTTCGCCCCTCGAGGTACGCATGAGGTACATGGTTCGCATATATTTCCCCTCCTCCAACAATGTGGCCGAGTATGAGGCACTCATCAACGGCCTATGCATGATGGCAAAAATGGTGGCCGACCGAGAGCCAGAGCACGACTAGCGTCTTCGCCAGCGATCAGTACAAGTCCTCGGTCCGCTACAAGGAGCCAGAACAAGCCGATGATGGGCCGCCTGCCCTAGGCTCGGGGGCTAACCAGCCGTTGGCTCCATCCGACCCCGAAGTCATGGAGCTTAACGAGGATCCAACGACAGAACCTGACCCTCTAGCCGACTGGAGGACACCTTACCTTGACTACCTCCTCCTTGAGGCACTGCCGACGGACAAAACCGAGGCTCGGTGGCTAGCGCGTCGCACCAAGTCCTTTGTCCTTATTGAGGGCGGGCTCTACATGCAAAGCCACACCGAGATCCTGCAGCGCTGCATCCCCATCGAACAAGGGAAGTGGTTGTTGAGCAACATCCATGGTGGGGTCTGCGGTCACCATGCCGCGCCTGGAACCCTGGTCGGAAACACGTTCCGGCAAGGCTTCTACTGGCCAACCGCGGTAGCCAACGCTGAACATATCGTGCGCACCTGCGAAGGGTGTCAATACTACGCTCGGCAAACCCACCTACCGGCCCAAGCACTCCAAACGATCCCCATAACGTGGTCGTTCATGGTCTGGGGGCTCGATCTGGTCGGACCTCTCAAGAGGGCGTCCGAGGGCTATATGCACTTGCTTGTCACCGTAGACAAGTTTACAAAGTGGTTTGAGGCTCGACCAATCTCCGTGATCAAGTCCGAGCAAGCCGTGTTGTTCTTCCTCGACATCGTCCATTGCTTTGGGGTCCCGAACTCCATCATCACGAACAACGGCACACAGTTCACCGGAAAGAAGTTCCTCCGATTCTGCAACAAATCCCACATCCATGGCGCACCCCCGCACGAACGGGCAGGTCGAGCGAGCAAATGGCATGGTCCTATAAGGCCTCAAGCCTAGGATCTTCCACCGGTTGAACAAGTTTGGTGGACGATGGGTCGTGGAGCTTCCCACGGTGCTCTAGAGCCTGAGGACGACCTCGAGCCGGGCCACCGACTACACATCATTCTTCATGGTCTACAGTTTTGAGGCTATCCTCCCGACCGACCTCGATTATGGAGCGTCGAGGGTCAGGGCGTACGATGAACAGGGAGCCGAGGCGTCCCTCGAGGATGCCATGGACCAGCTAGATGAAGCGCGCGACGTTGCCCTCCTCCGCTTAGCCAAATACCAGCAAGCGTTACGTCGGTACCACAGCCATTGAGTGCGGGGTCAGGCGTTTAACGTCGGGAACCTGGTGCTCCGCTTTGTCTAGAGCAACAAGAACCGCCACAAGCTCTCTCCGCCATGGGAGGGACCGTACGTCATCGCGAAGGTGCAAAGCTAGAATAATGTCAAATGTCACCGGAAGACAATTACATTTCTTTCTTCCTCTTCTTTCCTTTACATAATAATGTCAGAGCTTAATGTATGCTACAAAGCTAGAAGACTTTGCAATGTCAATTAAAAGCATATATCTTTTAGAAAAATAAATGATCCAACATATTTACGCTTACGCTATTGGTATAAAGCTGCTTTTCATGTCCTTGTCCTTGTATAGTTGTATTCGTTGATACAAAACGTGACTCTATTTCTTTTCAATTGATCGAAGTAATCAGGCGACGAACAAATCAATTTCTAAACATCGTGAATCCCAACACGGAATCACCACGGCTGGCTCAAGATGGCACGGCAACGCCAACTCTTTGGTACGTGGTCTGGCTCAAGATGGCACGGCAACGCTCAAGATGGCACGGCACCTGCTGTTCTTGGCTTGCTACGTGGGAACGCTTCGTGATTGACTAGAAAACCTGGGGTACCAAAACAAATACTAACCAAAATCATGGCTTGCCAACTCTTTGGTCTGGTAAGTTTTCAAAACAAACTAATCAGGCCCTGCATTTTATTCATATTCTCGTGCCCTGCCCAAGCCCAGCAAAATGGTGGAGAAAAAAACCTGGGTTAGGCCGGACATGTGATGGTGCCCAGCAAAATGGTGCCCAAGCCCTGCATTTTATTGGTCCCGGCCCGACCCGTGCTTGAGCCCGAACTCCCGGAAGCCGATCTCCAGGTCCGCGGCGGCGACGAGCAGCTCGGCCGCCTGCGCCGGCTCCAGTATCTCCACCGCCCGCTTCACGGTGCGCAGCCGCAGCGCGTCCGCCCTTTCCAGCACGTCCCTGACCCTGCGCCTGCGCACATGGCCGGCCACGTCGAGCCCGGACCCGTCCGCCGGCGCGGCCACCGCCACGACGGCGTGGCCCTCCTGCACGAGCGCCATCTCCCGCGCGAGCGCGTCCTCCTCGTCCACCGTGCGGCGCTGCAGGTCGTCGACCTGCGCCAGCTGCGCCGGGGTGAGGTCGCCCATGTTCCCCGACCGCACGCCGAGGAGGAGGTCCGGCAGCTGCGCCTCGAGGCGGCGCCCGGACTCGGTGTAGAGCAGGTGGACCAGCGTGGTGGGGCGCCACCCGGCGAGCCAGTACGCGGCGCCGCGCTCCGCGGGGGTGGCCCACGGCGCCGACAGCGTCCACACCGGGTCCAGGTCGGCGCGCGCGGCGCAGTAGGACTCCAGGTGGGCCACGAAGCGGCCCACCAGCGCGGGGAGCTGGGCCGCCGCGTCGTCCGACCACCGGGCCGACGCCAGGTCCCGGCGCAGCGAGCGCAGCCCGCGGAACCAGAGGTGGAAGCGCCGGGCCGCCGCCTCCAGCTCCATTCCCGTGCCCGCCTCCAGCTGGGGGGGGGCACAGGCAGCCAGGCAGGCAGGCGCGCGGCGGAAGGTGTGTCAACGACGGCCACGCGTGGGCGGTGGGATTTATAGGGTGCGGCCGTGGAGCGGAGGCGAACGGACGACGGACGGCTGCCGGCCGGGCGTATGAGGTGGCGCGCATGCAGGGGGCCATGTGTGCCCCGAGCACTGACCGTCTGGTTCTGGACGGCGACGCCGTCACGCCGGGCGGGTGGCTGGGATCGGTGACATGTGGCCCGACGTGCCAATGGGTCTACCGTCTAGAGGTGTAGCGACGCGCCGACTGGTTGGTCCGGTCCCAGTGGTCAGCTGTTTGATGACGCGAGGTGACGGTGACGGACGAGCTACTAGTTGATTGGTCGCGGTGGTCAGCAGCAGCTGAAAGTTTTGGGTTGGATTCCATCCCATCTGGATGGCTGCAGACATTTTGCACGGGGCGGTATTGAATCATGTGTGTTATTACACTGTTCACTCAGCTTTGGTGGAAGACTGGAAGTGGAAACAGGAGAGTCTTATCGGCGGCCCGGCCTCATCTTGTTGGATTATAATAGTTGGAACTGGGGAGAGAAAAGACAGTGTGGATAGTGCTGTCTGCTAGTGCTGTGCTGTGCTCCCAAGATCAGGTTTCTCCTTTCTACTTTCCGGTAGGTATCAATAATGCAGGTTTTATATGCCGGGCTGCCGGCCATGGCGATCGGCGTGGCATTTATTAGTAGAAGCTTGTTTCGTCCTGGCATGCCTCGTGCCTGTACATCTTGCCAAAACACTAGCACCTTCAGAGTTTCAGACACATGCAGCCTGTTCGGGAGGCCGTATCGTATCGTGGATTATTTACTGCTGGCTGGTTTGGTGTGAGAGAAAAATACTGTTTCCGGCTAAAAATTTACGATCGTTTACGAGCCAGCGAACAGGCTGATGATGGTGCAATGCAATGCGACGGGTGCTAGAAAGCGTCGGCCCACGAGAATTATTATTACTAAAACTATTCCTGCGGTTTCACATTTACAGCAGGAGATATGCTCATACGCACAGCAGTTGTCAAGTTGACGATGCTGGACAATGCATAAAGGTTGCATAGCAGTATGCACAGCGATACAGCCTGCAGGGGCGTCCCAACTTAGCTTGCTTCCGCGGTGGAAAGGACCTCCAGCTCGGCCCACCAGAGCGGAGACAACCTCGGCGTCGCAGCCACCGGCGAGATGCCTACCGCTTCTCGCAGCCTGGCAGCGACCTCCCTCATGCTCGGTCTGTTCCTCGGGTCGCTCTGGATGCAGGCTCGGATCACCTCGCCGATGATCGCTAGCTCATCTTCCCTGTGATCGCCCAGTGTTGGATCGAGCAAGGAAGCTATACTCCGGTCATCGTTGGTTATGCACTCCAAAGCCTAGGATGTAAAGAAACATAACGTCATCATTTGATTTTTCATCATCAATCAAGTAGAAATGATGTTCCATGGATAGCGTCATTACCGAGCTGACGAGGGAGCGCTCGTGTCCGGGATATGGAAATGGAAGCTTCCCTGAGATGATTTCAAGCAGTAGAACACCGAAGCTATGTACATTCCCTGCTAGGCCAGCGGACACCTGTTCTTGGTGATGGTCGAGCTCGCCATTTGTCGCCGTTTTGGCTTCAGAAATCACTTCGTGCCAAACGCTCATGTCCGCGATCTGCAGCAAGAATTCAGGTTGGACGATCAGGTTGTGGTTCCTTCACTCTGACGCTAAACAGCATGGTTGTTTACTTGTTTAACACCCGGAGGTTTCAGAATTTAGTAAAACTTGGAGTAAAAATATGGATGAAGTTGGATAGGAGTATGTACCTTTGCAGCACCATCTTCAGATAGCAGTATGGAACTGGACTGCAGGTCAGGGTGCACCACAGGAGGGTTCAGCTCATGCATGTGCTGGATGCAGTAGGCTAGTCCCATAACAATCCGCATCCTACCTCGCCAAGCAATGTGCTCAAAATCCTCAACTGCAACACTTTTCCAGAATTGTTAATCACTCGTGCACAATATTTCGAGAGCTACACTACACGTACTGCTCAATGGTGTGGTTGAATTAGCAAGAACAGTTTCTGTATATACCATGAAGACTCTCATAAAGTGTCCCATTCGGCGCGTACTCGAGCACCATCATCCTGGTGAAAGGTTCCTCCTCCTCACAAAAGCCAAGCAGATTGACGAAGTTCTTGTGGTTTACTCGCGACAGGGTGTCTATCTGCTTAATTCATCATTAAAGTAACTCAAGCTAATATGCAATACACAAACTCAAATGGGTGAGTTGTTCACATATAAATCAATGGGCCAAATTCTTATGCTAACCTTTCTCCTGAAGCAGCTCTCTGAATGCTCTGACCACTCCTTACTTGATGTAATCATAGTGGACACCACTGCGATCTCAACGCCAGTTGATAAAGTTCCCTTGTAGACGTTGTAGTGTGGATAACTCGCCACAATGTTAATGAAGTCCTCACAGGCACGTTCCAGCTCTGACCGCTGCAACTTTGGTACTCCTGATGAAGCACATGAGAATCAGCAGGGTTAGTTGCAACAAACAGCAGCATAAGTTGTACTAGATATCTGAGGAATTCAGACAGCAAAGTATCAACTGATCTTCCACCCTCTTTTTTTTTTTCTTGCGAGTAGTACAGAGATGTGTGTGTTTTTTTTAAAGGGATGCAAAATAATTTTGAGGCACATATATGAACGAACTAGTAGCAAATATAGTACTCCAATCCTATAGCAGTATATACCTGTAACAAATGTTTTCTGCAACTGGCCACTGAGTCCAGTCTTCCAAGGGCCAATGGTCGCAACTGCACTCTTACGACACAGAAGCCAGCACGCTAGTCCAGCAAGCAACAGCAGGGCAACCGCCGGAAGAACAACCATGTACAGCCACCTCATGGATCTCGACAAATAAGCCGCCGGCGTCGTTGGCGCCGCCTCGCTCGGATCGTTCTCCCCCCCGTGCCGACTGGGAGACGCCGCCGGAAAAGAGCCGGTTCCATGAGCGGGGACATGAGCGGGGACTGGGACGGCATGAACCTTTGCAGGCAGAGGCGGCGCGGCAAGATTGGTGTCCTGTTGAAGTAGTAGCCTCCGGTGGGTCGGCTGCGCCGCCGGCAGATCCGCGGCGGCGGCGGCGGTCATGGCAGAATGGAGGGTCAACAGGATCAGTAGGAGAGAACTCGACGCGTCCATCGTTCGTCGGCGTGCCCAAAGATCGATCGCATCAGGTGAGCAGATAGCCTCTACGCGCTGCCCTCTTCCCTGAGAAAAAAAAAGGGATAGATATGATCTGCCGATGGCAGAATCATCGGCGTCGTCAGGGCTGCATGTTTTGAAGCAGAGAGATGCTAGTAGAACACTGGGTAAGAGGTGTTGGGGAATTCAGACAGCTGCATGATTGATTGCATCGCGTCACCGACGACAACTGATCGAAGAACATGATTGAGGAGAGGAACTGGAGAACTGGGAAGGGTCAGAGAGACAGAGCTTACAGTGTGAACGAAACGAAGAGGAAGACGATGACGAGGGAAGGGTCGGAGTTGCTTCGTGGCGGTAGTATAGTTGGAGGAGCTAATAACACACACTTTTCTTTGTTTCCAGTGACAAAAATTGGGGACTGCTTGCTTGATTGAGATTAACGACTAGAGCGAAACCGGCAAAGTCCCGTTGCTCGTTGCAGTTGCAGGCAGCGTCACAGTTTCGTCAACGAAGCGTTCAATAACTGGGGCTGGGGAATAAAGAACGCCACCCGAGGGATGGAGCCCAGAGCCCACCGCTATCGTCGTCTATCGATCTCCACGGCTCGCGTCGCGTCCGTCCGCACTGGCACGTAGCTCCTTGTCGTGGCGCGCCGCCACGAACACGAACGCGTAGCGTTTTTAGAGAATCGCAGCCGCGGTGGTACTGGGGCGCCGGCCGGCAAGTCAGCCACGTGAACCTAAGTGCGTACGAACCAGAAACTAGTCCAGAATCTGCGTTGCATCGCGTCGCCGTCGCAGTCGCAGCTGGCCCGAAACAAAAACCGCGGCGTGCAAACGCAAAAGCAAAACCAACCCAGGCCGCGCTGTCCGTGACTAGCGCCGCGACGACGGCGACCTTGGGGATGGGATGGACTCGAAAACCCAATCGATTTCGATTTCTAGCGGGGTCTGCGGCGGCAGAGGCCGACGCCGAACGCGGCACCCCACACCTGCGCCTCGGCGCGCCGCACGCGCGCGCGGGAGGATACGGCCGGAGGTTAGAGCCGTTGCGGTTGGTCCCCTGTCCCCTGAGCAAGTCGTCGGTTTCGGCAGGCGCGCCAGCAGAATAAAACCGTTTGGCACGGTCAGGACCGCGAGGCGCCGAGGCCTGCACTCCGCTCTGCTACGGGCCACGTCACGGCTCACGAGCGCTGGCGAGCCAACCAAACACGACAGGAGGCTCTGTGCAGCGCATTGCGCTGCGCCGCTTGACTTGGGGCGACGACCGCGTCAGCTGTAGCAGATTTGGTCTTTCATGGCCGTTTCTTGCCCGTTGGCAGTAGAGCCAGGTAAAGGTAACTGGAGTCTCATCCGTCAAAACTCTATGGTTTGCCACACATCCTGTTGCGTAGATTGGCTGCATGATTGCTTTGCCACACATCCTGTTTTTTCAGCCGGAACAGTATTTTTCTCTCAGGCCCCGTTCGCTGGTCTGAAATTTGGCTGAAACTGGCTGAAAAACACTGTTCCAGCTGAATTGTTGTGAGAGAAAAATACTGTTCCGGCTGAAAAAACAAGCCGAACAAACCGAATATGGGGTAAGCCGAACAGGGCCTGATATCATCGATCATTGTGACAGTATGGATAGATATGGAGAGGAAGGATTCAATGGCTTGCACAAGAGGCGATCCTGACAAAACGTTAATGTTAGATAAGTACTCCGGCGATGACAGCGACAAATGCGAGACATTGACTTGGAGCAGTGCTATCTCTACAGGCTACTGATTCAAGTGAGCTGATGAATTAATGATAGATAGAGTATATCAGACGTGTTGAAATAAATAAAATAAATGGGCTTTAGCCCAAACAAAACAAATCTAATTATTATTCTAAATAAATCTTAAATGTTTATTCATGTGTGCACATGGTGATAGTAGTGGAACTTTAGTTTCATCTTACTAGTTCTAGTGGACGATATCATCTTTAGATATAAAAGCCCTCTTCACATCACCATATCTAATGTGAGAAGAGAGAAAGGAACTCTACATGTGTGTGTGCTTGCGATGACGGCCGTGTGGCAGGGTCAGGGCGTGAAAGAAGAGGCAGCCCGACAAAGTTGGCCATTTTTGTTTTATAAGTAAATTACAAGAAATTACTCGAGACATATGTTTTCTCTTTCTTTACTTTTTTTGTTGTTTGAAATACTTATTGATTTATCAAGAGTTTTTTTTTAAGATTCGGGAACAATTGTTCCGGCTTTTATAAATATAAGAAGAGGAGGATTCACCCAGTTCATAAGGAAAATCGGACTCGAAAAACCATACAACAAACAACCAATACTCCCACACTACTACTATAACTTGTAAACCACTATGACAAGGGATGATGCTCACCAAACACCAAATAGCCACCAGATCCAAGAACAACTAGATAAGCAAATTCTACAAAGGCTCTCCTTGCTAACCACCGCCACAAAATCAAGCGTATTTTTAGAGAGGTGCTTCTTTTTTTGGAAACTTATAACCTGGCACTATGGCCTTGTTATTGGAACCGAAGACTCGTAGAATCGCGAGCCACCAAACTTTTTACAAATTCTGGGAGGGGGCTTGTCCAGATGCAAGACTCGTTCGGGTCTCAACTCATCCCCAACCTTTCTAGCTCATGCGCTACTGAGTTACAAGTTCTAGGAATAAGAATGATATCATTACAAATAAAATGTTCATGAAGAAGATCCCGAATATCCCTAATCAACATCCCGCTAGCCGTCAGGTCCAACGATGGTGTGAGAAGAGCCTGCTTTAGGATCCAAAAATCCATTTCCAATTGAATTCGATAAATACTAAAGTCTGTTGCCGCCTGCAGGCCGTTGGCGCAAGCGGATGCTTCAGCACTCAGCACGTCGATGAAACCACCAGCTGTGCCATCGTCCTGCAGGACGTCGAATTTTCCGGGAGCTTTTTTTTATCACATCTTCTCACACGCTGCATGTTTCTTTGTCCCTTTTCTTGTTAGACCATCTACTAATTTTTTGGTAGATGAGATGCTTAGGGTAGGTTGCTTATTCTCATTTTTGTACTTCCTCCCACTACCGGATTCAGAAGCTTTGCCGAGTGCCAGGGGCACTCGGCGAAGCCAAAAAAACACTCGGCAAACGGTTTGCCGAGTGTTACACTCGATAAACGACACTCGGTAAACTGGTTATCGGCAAACGCTAGTTTGCCGAGTGTTTTTTGTCGGACACTCGGCAAAGACTTTGCCGAGTGCCCAAAATACACTCGACAATTTTTTTTTCGAAAAAAAAGCCATCACAAACATTTTTTTTGAAAAATATAAAAAAGCCACCACCGCCGGTCTCCGCCGGCCGCCGTCGGTCTCCGCCGGCCGCCGTCGGTCTCCTCGGCGGCGCCCTTCCCCTGCGTCTCGCCTCCGCTCCCCGGCTTCACGGCCGCCGCCACGAGCCACCACCGGCCACCACCACCACGCCACCGCCGCCCACCACCACCACCCGTCACGCCGGGGAAGAGAGGGAGAGGAGGGCGCGGCAGCCGGATCCGGGGAAGAGAGGGAGAGGAGGGGGCGGCCACGCCGGATCCGGGGAAGAGAGGGAGAGGAGGGGGCGGCCGCCGGATCCGGGGAAGAGAGGGAGAGGAGGGGGCGGCCGCGCCGTATCCGCCGCCGGGAAGAGAGGGAGAGGAGGGGGAGGGGCGCTGGCGGCGGGAAGAGAGGAAGAGGAGGGGGAGGGGCGCCAGCGGTGGGAAGAGAGGGAGAAGAGGGGCGGCGGCATGGATCCGCCACCGGGAAGAGAGAGGAGAGAGGGGCGGCCGTCTTTGGATCCACGGGAAGAGAAGAGAGGAGGCGGCGGGGAGGGAGGGCGGTGGGAAGAGAGGAGAGGAGGGGCGGCACAAGGGGTGGGAAGAGGGAGAGAGGGGGAGGGCGCGGTGGTGGGAAGAGAGGAGAGAGAGGAGGGGGGCAAAGGGGGGAAGAAAGGGAGGGGGCGCTGGGGGCCGGGTGCGTGTGGAGGAAGGAGAGTGGGGCGCTGGGTGTTGAAGATATTTTTTTGTTTGCCGAGTGTCCCAGATCGGGCACTCGACAAAGTTTTTTTTCTTCTCAGTCTTTTTCAAAAAAAATATTTTATTACTTTGCCGAGTGTTCTAGATCCGAGCACTCGGCAAAGTTTTTTTTTCATTTTTTTCTTCTCCTTCTTTTCCAGAAAAAATATTTTATTTCTTTGCCGAGTGTTTTTTTTTACATTCGGCAAACCTCATCTTTGCCGAGTGTTTTTTTATACTCGGCAAACCCCTGATTTGCCGAGTGTTTTTTTTTTTGCCGAGTGTTTTTATCGCAGCACTCGGCAAAGAACTTGTTCGTCGAGTGCCTGAGGGAATACACTCGGCAAACATAAAAACACTCGGTAAATTTAAGGATTCCGGTAGTGTTCACTTTAAATAAATTATATAAGTTTCTTTAATTTTGATAGATACATAGATTTTACTATATATCTGGATATAGTTTTTTTTAGAAGGGACGACAAGAGTTTTGCCACAGTTTTATTAGACGATAAGAAAAGTGCGAAAACAGAATTATATATACACAAACTAGGGTAACACCGGAGGGCAACTACCAACTCTTCGAAGAGAAAAAAAAAGAAAAGAATGACATGGCCGGTCAAAAAAGACCTCTAGAAATAAATCCAAGAGGAATGGCACAAAACAAAGATTAAGCACAACCAAAAACCTAGGAAGACAACTTTAAAAGAATCCGTGGGAGCATTTGTTGTAGTGCCAAGTGAAACTGTTGTATGTCATTCTTGCACAAAGAGGCTACTTGCTGAGGTTGGAACTCTTTTAAGGTTCTTTTGTTCATCTCTTTCCAGATATTTCAATAGAAATAGAAATGTTGTCGTCGAAACGCCTCCTTAGTGTTTCATCAATTTTTGAGTGATGCCAGCACCATATGAGTAAATGGATCCTCCCATGGTAATTGTGTTGATGTTCGACAACCCAAACCAACTCTGAATCCAAAACCATATCTAGACATAGTGTATATTTAGGTTCACAAGTAAAAATCATATATATCTACAAAAGCTAAAATAACTTACAATTTAGAATAGAGGGAGGAAGTGGTAGCTTATTGTATAATTATTGTGGAGAAAATTCAGTAATTTTTTATGTAAAAATTCAGTTTGCCAAACCCCACAATTTATCATGCTCGCCTGCCCTGGGCTGAACCGGAATACGGTCGTGTGACTTCCTTTCGTGCGTGCGACGGCCGTGGCAACAGAGCACGTCACCGGCCCAACTTTAAAATGGGATGCCATTCTGGCATCCTCCATTTACATGGGTTGGACCACTTGGACGGAGTAATTAACGACCACGTGGCTCTCGCTATATTTGAACGGACGTTGTGCATGCCTTCCCGCGTGAATTGCGCACCCGGCAACCCGAAGGCGCCAGCTATGCACAGCGAATGGAGCTAGAAACCGGCGGCGGCGAGCGCGTGCGACGAAGACGACCCAAATTTAGGCGCCAGAATAACTAGAGGAGCGGTCACATGAGGAGGCCGGAGGAAGGGGAGACCGGCTCCTGGACCTCTCCGCCACCGCCGCCGCCATGGGGTCCCTACCCCACGCCGCGGTCTTCGCCGTGGCCCTCCTCCTTCTCGCCTCCTCCGGCGAGGCGTTCTTCGACATCTTCAACATCTTCCGCCCGCGCTCCGAGACCGATTACTTCCAGAATGCCTTCGAGGGCACGCAGGAGCAGACGGTGCCCACCCAGACGGGAGCAGGAGGAGCGGGGCGCCGCGCCGGCCACCGCCACGGGCCTCACCAGGGTGCCGCCCGGGGACCGCCCAGCAAGGCTGCGCAGGACACGGTCCACCTCGACGCCGACAAAGGCGGCGGGGCAGTCGGCTCGTGGACTATCGTCAGCGAGAACTCCGGCGTGTCGGCGATGCACATGGTCGTCATGCGCCACGGCAAGGCCATCATGTTCGACACAAGCACCACCGGGTCGTCACTCATGCGTCTGCCCCAGGACAACTGCCGCATCGACCCGCGGGCCAAGGAGGAGGGCACCATGGACTGCTGGGCGCACTCCGTCGAGTTCGACTACAACACCGGCGGCCTCGCCCTCTCAAGGTTATTAGCTTAACGTTCTTGCATGCATGGCTCCAGTCCCTGCCTGTTGTGCCTGGCACGTCGATCTCCACCATATGCATGCAACTGCGACCCAGGTTTTGATGGCATGAAATGCGATGCGCAGATCTTAACGGACACCTGGTGCTCGTCGGGCGCGTTGGACACGGACGGCAACCTAGTGCAGACCGGCGGCTACTTCGATGGCGAGAAGGTTGTGAGGACCCTCAGCCCGTGCGACACCTGCGACTGGCTGGAGCTACCCAACAGCTTCGCCGAGGGGAGATGGTACGGGACGCAGGTGGCGCTCCCGGACGGCCGGTTCATCGTGTTCGGCGGCCGCCGCGCCTTCAGCTACGAGTACGTCCCGTTTCCAGGGAAGTCCAACGACAAGGCCGTCCGGATGCCGTTCCTCCGCGAGACCACCGACGACGTGGAGAACAACCTGTATCCGTTCGTGAACCTCCTCCCCAGCGGCAACCTCTTCATCTTCGCCAACGACCGCTCCGTCATCTTCGACCACAAGTCCGGCAAGATCGTGCGCGAGCTCCCCAAGCTCGACGGCGGGAGCCGCAACTACCCGGGGTCCGCCATGTCGACGTTGCTCCCGCTCGACCTCCGCAACGTCACCGGCGACCCGGAGCCGGAGGTGGTCATCTGCGGTGGGGCCCCCAAGAAGGCCTTCAGGAAAGGCGAGAACAACACGTTCCTGCCGGCGCTCCGCGACTGCGCCCGCATCAACCTGGTCAGGCCCGACGCGAAGTGGGAGAGCGAGGACATGCCCGTGGGCCGCGTCATGGGCGACATGCTGATCCTCCCCACCGGCGACCTGCTGCTGCTGAGCGGCGCCGCCAAGGGCTGCTCCGGCTGGGGCTTCGGGCGGCAGCCGATCCTGACCCCGATCCTGTACTCGCCGCGGAAGGCGGAGGGCCCGCGGTTCCGGGCGCTGGCGTCGTCGACCATCGCGCGCATGTACCACTCCAGCAGCGCCGTGCTGCCCGACGCCACCGTGCTGGTGGCCGGCGGCAACACCAATGCGGCGTACAACTTCAGCGACGTGGACTTCCCCACCGAGGTGCGCGTGGAGCGGTTCACCCCGCCGTACCTCAGCGAGGGGGCCGCCGGCAGCCGCGCGGAGGTCGACGCGGCGTCGTTGCCCGCGGAGGGGATGCGGTACGGCACCCCGTTCATTTTCCGGTTCTCCGTGCTCTCCGAGCCCGTCGTGGCGGAGGCCGACGTGAAGGTCACCATGTACGCGCCGCCGTTCACCACGCACGGCTACTCCATGAACCAGCGGCTGCTGATCCTGCCCATCACCTCGTACGTCCAGGAGGGCCGGAGCTACAGGATCTGCGTGGACGCGCCGGGCAAACCGGAGCTGGCGCCGCGGGGGTACTACCTGCTGTTCGTGGTGGCCAAGGGCGTGCCGAGCTTGGGTGCGTGGGTGAAGGTTCGGTGAGACCGGTCGACCGATGGATTCACATTCACCGTACGTGTGGATCGCTGTGGGATCGTGTACAGAAGTGGGAGAGCGAGGCTAATTCTGTGTAAAATATTCTCGAGTACTTTTGCTCGGTTTGTGTGTGTCTTTGCGGTGTTTGGTTTTACATAGGGATGGATGTTTATGGGATCGATCAGATTGGCTGGAACACTATGTGATGTGCTGTTCGTTTGGTTTTGCTTCCCAGAACGTTGCGTTGTTTGGTGTGCTAGTGCAAGAACATATGTAGTGGTGGACGAAAAACGGAAGGCATGCCGCTGATCTTCACAAGCTTGACAACATTGATCATTAATAACATCGATCTATCTTGGAGCATTGCAGGTGGAGCCAATCAGCCGAGAGCCTGAGATTGCCAACTTGGACGAATCTAATTGTTGGAATAATGGGCTTGGTCCATATGAGATTTTTTGAAATATTGCAAATAAACCTTGTATTTTTCGAAATATTACAAATAAACATTGTAGGTCCATTCATGTATACAAGTGAAGCAAGTTGTTGACCGTTAGTCCGGTGCTGGTTTGAACTGAACACCACCTATGGGTCGACGGATCTAGGCCTAGAGCTCTCTAAATTTTTTCCCATGATTGTTTTGAGGAGAAGGGGTTGGAGGTTGAAGATGAGCTTTCAGCCTCCCCGGAGCTCATCCTACATCCGTCCCTGTCATCAAGCTACGATGTCGAAAACCATTTATACCACAGTCCAACGGGTGCAGCATCGAGTTTGGTTCATAGGTCTCACGACAGAGTAAAATAAAAGGTAGAAAATCTTTGGCCAAGACCTTCGCCTTATCGTTCTGCAAGCATATTGTCCTCCCTGATTAGTGTATTTCAGTTTGTTCGGCTGCCTATTTTAACAATGCTACAACTGCAAATGTGCACTGTTGCTACATTATTACTCTCTTATACAAAGCAACAACTCGTCTTCTATCTAAATCAGGCGGTGTTGTATACCATTATCTGCATCACAGGCTGCTTTGACACGTCTTCATCAACGTCGTGAGCAACATCGTCGCTCCACCACCGACAGTCATGGTGTCTCCATCTATAAACAAAAAGTACACGTGTCGTAATCTAGTCTTGTCGGTGTTTTGGACCAGGGGGTGCTCAACCGACTAGTGAATTTGTTCTGCGTGCTCCCGATTCGGATGGTGATGCAAAGAGACACAAGGTTTATACTGGTTCAGGCAATCAAGGCCCTACGTCCAGTCTGAGAGATCGATCTTGTATTCCTTGCACCGAGGTGCTCGTAGTAGGGGGTTACAAGCTAAAAGAGAGAAGGAGCTGGTCCTAGGTCTCGGCGGGGTGTCGTGCGGGCCGCTTGAGACGTTGCTCTCAAAGCGCGGAGGTGTGTGTGTGTGTGTGTTACAAGGTGTCCCCCCTTAAAACAACCCAGGTCCTCTCCTTTTATAGCATGAAGGAGGACTAGGGCGGTACATGAGCTAACTATACTGGCGTCGTGTGAACAGAGGCGGCGTGTCCGAGCCACAGTAGCCTGTTCTGTGGTGGTGTGGCCGCCGGAGTGGTCCATCCTTGAGTATCTTTGGGCGGCGTGGTCATCCCATCGAGATCGTGTGCGTCGTGGGAGCCCGGAATGCCTCGGAATGGACGCTTGGCGCGAACGTGCAAGCCATTGTGGACGGACGGGCTGCGAGGCCGAGACTTGGTCGATGCCGAGGTTGGCAACTGCGGTGGGGGGTCTCGGCGAGCACGAACCCCAAGATCGCCGAGGCCCGATGTGTCTGATCTGCCGAGGCCTTGAGCGGGCGATCGATCATGGGTGCAGCGTTTGGACACAGTGGTTGGTAATCCCCGTCGTACCCTGTCCCAGCCGGTATGGCGCTGATCATGGACACAGTGGCCGGTAATCCCCGTCGTGCCCTGTCCCGGCCGGTATGGCGCTGATCGTGGACACAGTGGTAGACACAGTGGCGTAACCCGTCGTACCTGCCCCATTTGGTATGATGGCGATGCGACCTCGGGTCGCGTCGGTCATCTGTGGCATTGAGCCACCGTCCGGCTGAGATTGCGGGAGTGGTTGAAGCATTAATGAGACATGACGAGTTGTTGGGAGGGTCGGCCGAGGCGGGGGGCGACGGACCATGGACGAGCCAGCCTCAAGCGACACGGAGAATGAGGCCTCACACGAGACGGAGATCAGGTTCCTTGCCGAGGCCTTGTGTGAGACGCCTCGCGCGATACGGAGAATGTACCCCTGCCGAGGCCTTCCCTGGATAGCCTCGGGCGAGACGGAGATGACGCCCCCTGCCGAGACCTACCCTGGGGAGCCTCACGCGAGGCGGAGTTTGTTCCGAGACCTCCTGCTCGAGGCTCGAGGCGAGGTGGAGGAGGGCTCGGTCGTGGCAGGTGAGGGGCCCACGGCTTACCTTCTAGCTTTATTTTGATGTTTGCTTGGGGTACCCCGTTATAAGGTACCCGACAGTAGCCCCCGAGCCTCGGGGTGAGTGCGTGCACTCTCCCTGAGGGTTCGTCGAGGCTGGGTTTATGCCTGCTCCGTAGGAATTGGTTTGTTTTCTGAGGAGCCTACCCTGGGGAGACCTACCCTGGGGAGCCTCGCAAGCTCGGCGGGATTCAGCGCTTTCGGGAAAATAGAATGCCTATTTTCTATTGCGCCGGATGCAAGTTCTTGTGGTTAGCACATTGGAGCAAGGGTGATGAAGTTAGAAGTGAAAACGAGTTAGTCGCGAAGATGCTGGCGTCGGTCAACTGACCGGACGCTGGATCTGAATGCACCGGACGCTGGCAGGCTGCGTTCGGTCAGGCTGGCGTACGATGACGCAGAAGCTGGAGTGTGACCGGACGCTGGCTGCGTCCGATCAAGTGTGACCGAACGCGTCCGGTCGAGGTCGGTACCTTACTAGAAACGACCGGACGCTGGGGGTTCAGCGTCTGGTCAGTTGAAAGCTGCTACGTCCGGTCAAGTCAAGTGACCGTTGGAACCGGGACACAGGGCCGTCTGTGGGCGACCGGACGCTGAGGTCCAGCGTCTGGTCAACACGACCGGAGCGTCCGATCGGCCCGACCGTTGCCCAGTGAAGGGGTAACGGCTAGTTTAGCCCTTGGGGCTATAAATAGAAGTGGCCCTCGGCCATGGCTGGTGCAGAGCACCTCAAGGGACTTAGTGTCCATTCTTGTGAGTGCTTGGGAGCCCTCCATCACACATATACTTGATAGTGATCATTCGAGTGTGTGAGTGAGCGATTCTAGTGCGATTGCATCATGAGGTTGCATCGAGTGGCACTAGGTGGTCGTGTTGCAAGCCGGTGGTGCTTGTTACTCTTGGAGGTTGCCACCTCCTAGACGGCTTAGTGGTGGTCTTCGCCCGAAGCCCCGCAAGAAGCTTGTCTTGGCGCCGGAGAAGTGCTTGTGAGGGGTACTTGTGCTCGCCTGCCATGAGTCACGAAGAGCAACTTTAGTAAAGCGTGTCATTGAGCTACCCTCACTCAAGGGGTAGGTTCTTGCGGTGCCCGACGTGCGGGCTTAGCGGGTGATGCTAAT